AGCTGCCTGGAGCCATCGCTGGAAGATGTGGAGGTGGGAAGGGCCCCTTCTGGGGGGCTCCTGAGCTCCTCGTGCAGCGACGGGCCGGGCGAGGGGCTGGGCACTGACCCCTTCAGCTGGCGAATCCCCACCCTTAACTACGAGAGGAAAACCAACGTGGACTTCGATGACTTCGTCCCGGCCATTCGCAAATCCCGCTCCACCAGCAGCCTGGCCAGGCCCGGCAGGGACAGGCGGGACCACCGGCCCCTCACCGTCCGCTTCCAGGATGAGGCCGCGGCAGGCAGCTCGGCATCCTCCGAGGTGAAGGGCACAGCCAAGCGCAACCTGGCACCCCAAGAGGACCCTGGGGATCTCTCCGACTCCTCCTCATCCTCTGGCTCCCACCTCTCCTCCCGGAGTTCCGACAGCATCAAGCGCCGGCCGCCCCGAGGGGACAGGGAGGGCACAGCCCAGGGCAGCGCAACGAGCCGCCGGCTGGAGGCAGAAGGGAAGGAGGAGGATGTCAACAGCATCATGAGGAAATACCTGGGAAAAGATTAAGGTAACGATGCTGCAGATGCGCAGAGCAGGGGCAGGGCTGTGGAGCTGCTGCCCATCCTGCCCACGCTGCCTGTGCTGGTGCTGGGGGGGTGTGGGAACAGGGTGCCCCAGGGCAGAGGGTGTTCCCAAGTGTACCCTGGCACATGGGAAAAGCCCAGGGCAGGGGAGGTACTGGTACTGATCCAGCCCTGCTGCCTGGCTGAATTGCAGAATGCCAGGTTGGAAGGGACCTCAAGGATCATCTGCTCCAACCTTTCTAAGTAGGGACAAGTTTCAGATGAGATGGCCCAGCACCTTGTCGAGCTGAGTCTTAAAAGTGTCCAGATTTGGGGAACACACCACTTCCCTGGGAAGATTATTCCAATGTCCAAATGTTCTCATAGTGAAATATTTTCTTCTCATGTCCAGTCAGGATCTCCCCAGGAGTAACTTGTACCCATTAATCCCAATCTTTTCCATGGGATTCCTGGTAAATAGAGAGTCTCCATCGTCTTGGTTGCCACTTTTTGAGGACAGGAACGTGGCAATAAGGTTCTCCCTGAGCCTGTTTTTCTCCAGGCTGGACCAGCCCAGTTCTCAGCCTTGGCTTTGGCCAGGTGGCTGTGGTCAGTCCCTGGCAGGAGGGTCCTGCTGGACCAGACCAGCTTCCCCTTGGGCCCAATGTCTGCATAGCAACTGACACTCCAAGAATTAGGATTTATTGCTGCAGCCCAGGTTTGAAAGCAAAGTCCCTAATGAATGCAGCACAACTGTAATTAAGTGTTTAAAATAGATTAGAAAAAACATTTTGTAAAACCATTGCCTTTAGACTAACTTATTGGATGTCAAGCTGTGACCAAATTGACTAAGCCAACACAAGAAGGGAGTGTGTGTTAATAAACATTTCTTTCCAGGAAGCACAATTTGCATAATGAAACGTCCCACTTTCTCCAGGCTCTGATTCCATCAAGTGCAGCAACTCGGCTGGGGAGCCACGGCCGGGCCCCCCCCTTCCCTGGAAGAGCACTGGGGAGGAAATGAGGAATTGAAAGAGGCTGGAAGTGGCTGCCCAGAACTCATGGGATGGTTTGAAAGATTATGAGACTTTTCTTTTTTTTTTTTTAAGCATATGGTGGTTTTTTTTCTGCTCCTGTTTCCATCACTGCAGCTTCACTCAGGGCCAGCCGTGGGGACAAGGGACTTTCCTGTTCTCCTGCAGTCGTTTGACTCAGGAGTTGGTGCTGTAATTAAAACCCAGTGGCTGTTGTAGGTGCCTGATCACACGCCATGCTGTGAAGAGCTGGAGGGACACCAAACCCCCTCCTTTTAACCCAGAAGGTGCAGCCCAGCTGTCTCATCCCACATAGTGCTCCTTAAAATCAGCTGGAGAGCTGAAGGCTGTGCTGGGCTCTGGGTGTGACACCAGCTCGTACATTTGGGATGGATTTGGGTGAGTGTCTGGTTTTTACACAATAAAATACTTGCTTCTTTGACACAAGCCTCCTCTTGTCTTTCCTTCCCTGCAGTGAGAGCAGGTCAGTGCAGATCTGAGTGATCCCTCCCCAGCCCCCAGGGCTGGGGGCTTCTCACCTGAGACCCTCCAGCCTCCCCATCCCTCTGCACTCACCAAAAGCTCTTTTTTCTACCTCAACCCTGTCTCCTAGAAGAGAGGCAAACTTAAACCTTTATCTAGGCTTTGTGGCAAAATTATACAGGTCCATGAACAAATCTCACCTTCCCATCAGGGATTTCTAAGCTTGACGGGGATATTTGTACCAATTTGCACAATCTTGTTGGATCCTCTGGGGTGGCTGCAGTGCTTGGGAAAGCAAATTGGGCAGTTCTCAGCAATTTTCCTTTTCCTTTCACATTCTTCACATTGATTTCTAATTTAAACCAAGGCCTTGCAGCAAGAGGCATTTTCCTTGTCACAGATGGACACAAAACCCCTGGATAGGGCTTCACGTCAGAGGTTTGCTTGGCTGCCCACAGGCTGCCCACAGTTCCCAGCAATTCCTGGCTCCCAGCAGCTCTGGCAGTGGGGCAGGTAGGAGGCAGGAAAGTTATCCACTTTGGGAAGTGAGGGATGAGCTCTTGCCACTGCAGAGCTGTCAGTATGTTCAGCTCTCCCCGAGCTCGATGCAGCCCTGCTAAGAAAGCACAGGTACATTTTTTTGTAATCTCCTTTTTTTTCCCTTGAAACCAGGAAACTGCATTGTGCTGTGCTGGCATTGCAGCCCTGTAACTGCACAAACTGAGGGAGAGGCAGCTTCTCCTGAGGTCGCTCTGCATCAAGTGTGCAAGTCCAAGAAAAAAAAAAAGAAAGAAGAATTTACAAAAATTCTGTATTTCCTTCTGGGCTTTCAGATGAAAAAAATAAAAACCACAGATTGTGTCATTTGGGAGAGAGATCTTCACAGGCTGCCCTTCCAACTCCTCTGGGAATTTTTAAATAACATATTCGACCAAACAGTTTGGGGAAAATTCTTACAAAGTGTCACCAGCCCAGCTGGGCAGGAATGGGAGCTCTTTCCCAATGAGCTTCTTGGCTTGAGTGGTGCTGAGCCTGTGGTGCTGAGCCTGTCCTCACAGATTGCTGTTTGTGCATTTGTGCTGCTGGTTGGTCTCATTGGGTTAATTGCCCAAATGAGCTGGCCAAGCCAATATAATCTGATTAAAGTTCAGCGTGGCAGAAGCACGGATGGGCTGGGAACGTTTGGATCCTGCAGCCTTGGGTAGGAAGCTCCTGTGGCAGGAGAGGCTGAGTGGGTCTGTGCTGTGTGAGAGATGGGAAACGTGGGGTACAAGGGTGTAAAACAGGACATGGAGCCAGGGGAAAAGGCAGATGGACGAGCATCACAGCAGGAGAAGCTCCCTCCCCAGCACCAGCAGCACGTGAGAGGGTCTGGAGTCTGTAGGTAAGGGGGCACTGGTGGGGAGGGACACTGGTGGGTATGGACATGGGTGGGGAGGGACACCCTGAAGCACCTTTGCTGGGAATCCAGCCCTGCATTGTCTCCTCCGGCCTCTGGAGCTGGACCTACAGGTGCTGGCTGAGATGTGGTTTGAGGTTCGTTGGGCTTTAATCTCAAAATGCTACATAAATTGCTCATTATGTGGTGGCTGTAGCAAAATGATTCCTTTGACACTGAGCCTTTGATTTGGAATTACTACAGCAGAGGGTTCACTGAGCATTAAGCTGTTGCTATTTAAACTTGCAAAAGAGATGCAGATTTCTGTGTAATACACTGACTTCTTTTTCTTTCCTTTTTGCTTTGCAGGACACAAAGGCAGTTGCTCTGTCACTTGCAGTGCCTTTGCACATCCTTTAACAACAAACCAGGGAAAAATGATGCTTGGACTGGAGCTTTCCAGGCTGAGTCCAGAGAGCTGTTTGCCCTTGAAGCAGCTGGAGCAGGAGATCAATGCCCCTGGGTGGTGAGCTGGAGCCATCCATCCATCAGCAGTAAATTCTGCAGGGTGTGGAAATGCCCCTTCCTGAGTGCACAGAGACGAGTAACAGGTCAGTCACGATCAGGACCGTGGCAGTTTGTAGCCTGGGGCAGGAGGACAGGAGTTGTTTCTTTGTCCCTGTGTTTTAGCCACATTTACCCACCTGCAGCACAGGAGCTTTGCCATGGGCTGATGTGAGGGATGGTGCTGGTGAGGAGGGAAGTGGGGCTTTGGGAAGGGCACTGAGCCTGTGGGGTGGGTTTTGGTGCTGACATGCAAAGATTGCCAGGGAGCATCCCCCAGGAATGTAGCCCTAGGGGAAGGGAGGGTGCTGCCAGCTGCATCCTTCACCTGAATGCATCTGGGAGATGGATCAGGCCAGTGCTGGGAGGGTAAAACCCAACACCCCTGCACCCCTGTGAGGTGTCCCTGTCCCTCTCTGAGGAAGGCAGACACTGCCAAGGGGAAGCATCTCCTCATCAGACAGAGAAACACCAAGCAAACGAGGCTGCCAAGTTTCTAATTAGCATAATCAAAGCCTGCTGTTTTCTCCCAGAGAGCCCACATCAGGGAAACCATCTCCTTCATTTCTGAGACGCTCGTCATTCAAGATTGCACCCAGAGCTGTTCTGCACTGACCACACCATTCCTGACACAGCTGCTTTCCTGCTGGCAACCAATCCCTTTGGCACATCCCACCTGTGGCTGATGAGGACTCCAAGGCTAGAGCAGGTAAGCCAGGTGGGCATATGTGCTGCTGCTGCAGGTCCCCAGGCCCATCACTGCCCCATCCTGCTGTGGGGTACTGAGGCTGAAGACCCCTCAGGCTCCTCATCACCCCCTTGCGGGGCCTTTGCAGGAGCTGGGGGTGGGGGAGATGTTCAGTGGTCCCTCCAGTCCTCTTAGGGAAGGCAGGGAACTCCATTTATTATACTTGCAAGTTTTTTAGCCCCTTCCCAAACAAAAGAGCTGTTTTTCCCTGGTGCCTGCAACTGGAAGCCCTGCATCCCTGCTGTGCATGGGCCCTGGCAGAGCAGAAAGGGCTTCTCCTGCAGGCTGGGGGCTCCAGGAGCCAGAGGGAGCAGAGAACATCCCCCTGCCTGTGAGATGGCAGCATTTGGCACCTGCCTCTCATGAGACAGGATTCAGTTTCATGCCTATTAGCTGCAGGGAGCTAATACCCGGTTGCTGCCATGCACAGAGCCTCTCTGACACTTAAATGTGTCCCTTCCAAAAGGGAGATAGAATTGAAATTATTCTTCCTGCGGGCAGTTCAACAGGTGTGGAAGCCTCCTCTTGCTCTCCTCAACACTTGCCACTGTGGCAAGTCTTGCACTGTAGAGTCTCATGGCCCAGCAGCTCTTCCAATAACCAACCCCACCCCCCCTATAGAGATTTGCTGGTGACCTTCAAACGGGCTTGGGCAGGGGAATTTGCTCAGAAAGGTGGGCCAAGCCTTTGTGGCAGGGCAGAGCTGGCTGGGAAACAAAAATAGCCCAGGCTTGCCAAAGAAGTGCAGCCTTGGCCAACCTCCCTTCCAGCACGTGTGTTCCCAGCATGGATGGAGA